CAAAGGACACACTGACAAAGGAGATTAATCAGAACTGGTTTTGACAAGCACTGTGGCAATTGGACAATTAAAACAGACTTTCAAGGAATATTCAACCTGAATCCTTCTGATCATATGGAGATTTTTGAAAGTATTTCTTTGAGTTTATTATGTTTAATTTGTTTTAGTTGTTTGTGTATAAAGGATGCTCATCTAGATGCCAACAGATTATGATAAAAACAAAAGGGGGGAAATATGGGAAGCCAATACTAAGTATTTGTAATAAACGGGATGCTATTTAAAAAAATAAAAAATAAAATGACTTTAAAACATAACAATATTAAATAGATGACAATCTTCTTAAAAATCTAAATTAAGCATGTTATACTTACAAGAGAAAAGGACTGTTCCATAACTCAAATGGATAGACATCTATGATATAAATACTTTTGTTAAGAACCAAAAAAAAAAAAAAAGAAAGAAAGAAGAGCATGCAAACTGCAGCAGAGCGAAACAGGGATCAACTGAGCTGGTGGTGGTCACAAGCTAAATTGCAGGGTTACCAGTGGACACAGCCTTTCTGACAGGCAATTCGAGCATAGAAATTAAGCACTGTAAAAAGTCCAAATTATTTGAATCAATACTTCCACTTCTAGGAATCTCTCCTAGAAAATTACCTACAATTGCAAAGGTCCCTGAATAAGCTTTTCATTTGCTAGCAATAAGTTGGCATAAAGCTAAATGTCCAAAAATAAGAAAATAGATTCATAGGTAATGATTCTGACATGACAGAATTATAGGTGACCATTTAAAAAGCATGCTGGTAAAGCTTACTTAGTAATGTGGGGGAAATACATTGCAACTGAAAAAGAGAATGCAAAATTGTATCTGTACTATGAACTAAATTTTATTAAAATATTTATATGGGCAGAATTCACAAGATGGGAATTTACCACACATTGACACTGTTTATCTCTGCCTTAATCTCCTTGTTGGTTTTTTTAAAAATGGTGATGTAAGGTAGTGAAGTCTGTGGTATATTATTTTTTCTTCACTATATGCCTTGTTTTTATGACAGTTATATATAAAAATATGAAATGCTTTACAGATTGTCACCAGTGAAAGGTCCAATAATAAAGACACCAAACTTTTGGCTTCTAAATGCAGAAGAAATGCTGTAAGTGTGAGACAGAAATTATCAAAATGGCTCTATAATCAAATTATCAAGATAGCTCTCTAATCAGGTATATGCTTTTTTTTTCTTATGTAGCCTAGTGGTAAGAAGCTGTGCTCCAATCTCCAAGGTACGTGGTTTGAATCCACCAGCTGCTTCATGGGAGATGGATGGGCAGTCTACTCCCATGTGATTAATTGCCTCTGAAAACCAACTCCACAGCAAATGACAACAACAAAGCATCAATACCCTACGATTAAAATGACAATACAGCTTCCTCCCTGTGCCAGGTCTATATCTCAGTCTTGGAATCATACCATACTGTCTTAAATGCCACAAACAAATGACAATGTTTGGGGTCTGAGGGCAGAGATGACCCAAATTCCCTTCTCTGGTACAGAACAATGTTATTTTATAGAGAAGTCCCTTGAGTAGTGGGTGGCATCAACGTAGTGGGGGACCATAACTGCAAGAGATGTTTAGCAGATAAGTTTGGAAGTAGCTTCACAGACCCTTAGCCCCATCCACCACCAACCTGTGTGATACAGGGAGTACATTTTCCCATAATCATAGAAAGGGGAAGGGTAGCACTTCTCTAAGAGGAGTGACCTAGAAATTATCTCACAGTTGAAATTTTTCACAGCTAAGGAGCCTACTCTGGTGACCTACTAGTAAGAAGCTGCGCTGCAATCATTAAGGCATGTGGTTCAAATCGACCAGCTGCTCCATGGGAGAAGGATGAGGAATCTCCTCTCATGTGGTTAACTGCCTCTGAAAACCTAGTGGAGGGACAGCTAGGCATTGGGTCAAATTCAATGGCACATAACAATAGTCAGAGAATGAGTAAGGGAGTTCTGGTGGCCTGGTGGGTGAGGAGAGGCACTGCCAACTCAGAGGCACACAGTTCAAATCCACCAGCTGCGCCGCACAAGAAAGATAGGCAATCTCCTCCTGTGCCATTTACAGCCTTTGAAAACTCACTGGAGGATCAATGATGAAATTTCTTGACTTGGCAGCAAATATAACAAAGAATGCAGGAGGACTCTCTCTTCACAGACTAGATGGAAACAAGCATGCCATTAGTCATAGGGGGCACATGCTAACTGGGCAGGCCTATGCAGCCCAAGGCCAAAGAGGGACACTTACCTAAGTTTTCCCTTACCTTTCAACCTCAAGCTTACCTTTAACCCTCAAGGGAAGGGTGCTGTTGAAGAAGAATGAGGAAGAAACAACACTATATGTGACCGAGTTTCAACCACACTGTCTGGAAAATCCAATTACCTGGAAGTGACTCAATTAAATTTCCATGAAAAAGAGCAGAGTCAGAAATCCAGTTGCAGCTTACTGTATATGCTTGTTTTTTAAATTTCTTTCAGTAATGACCATGCGTTGTATTTTTATAGGCTTTTTAAACAAAGGCATACTGGCCACAGAACTAAGGTCATGAGTTAAAAAAAAGGATCAAAAGAAAATGGGATGTATAGCTGGTGGACAGTTGTTATTGTTATTTTCCTTCAATATCAGAGTCCATTTTGTGTCTCAAATTGCTGGGACCTGCTCCCAGACAGAACCTGGAGTCCTGACCACAGTGAGCCTCTCAACATTCTGTGGCAAGGATGTGAGCAAATGGGGAAAATTATGCAAACAGACCTTATATCTCCCTTCTCTGCCCCCATCACCTCCTCCAGCACCACCCCCACAAAATAAATATCATTAAACTTCCCTATGGAGGGCCCCTTCTTTTTTTTTTTCTCTCTCTCTTTTTCTTTTCCCATTTTGCTCTCTGAAGCAATATCAAACAGCAGGGCAAATACACCCACGCACACAGTGATGACCTCTAAATATTTGAAGAGCATGCTGGTCTTCATTTTTTTTTAGGGCTGGTTTGCTCCAGGCTAGGTCCTCATGTGCCATTTTCCACACCCCTTACTACCCTGCCTACCCTACTTAAAGGGCTCGCCTGGGCTTATCAAGGGCCTTTTTGAGAGTGGGACCAATTGAGAGAAGGGTGTTGAGAACGCAGCACAACTTGAAGAATGCAATCAATGTCACCGAATTGTTCATGGGGACAGTGTGTATATTTTCACACACACACACAGAGCAAATAGTTGACCTTGAGAACTAATGCACGCCCTGTGGTCTAGCCAGAATAAAAAGTCCCGATTCTGCTTGGGCTGCAAAGCATATGAAGGAGCCTCCCTACCTCACCCTTTAGTTTCTCAGCCTACAATGCTGGAGTCACTCTCAAGTTTTATTGAATGGTGCTGTCAAGCCAGGGTTCCACTGTGCTTGCTTGCACACATTCTGTCATTTTAGAGACCCAGGCCAGTGCCCACCATGCTGCCACACCCTAGGGCCTGACAGGAAGGGTCAGATAAAGGAGGATAGGCCAGGATACTCCACCTCGCTGCATCCTTCCCTGGCCCTGTCATAGTCTCACTCTCATCCTCCACTTTGGCCAAAACCATCTCTTTTTTTTCCTGCCTTTTGCCAAGGTTCTTATATCTCCTAGAAATTCTTTCTCCTCTGTGCCTGTGCTGCGTCGATGAGTCTCACTCTTTCTAGGACCTCTTCTTAGATAAAATAAATCCTCTGACACTCCTGAGTTTTAGTGACTGGTTTTCAGTCCAACATATCAACTTGCTGAACAGCACCCTGCCCCCTCACAGACTCCATGCGGCTCTCAGATCATGGTAGAGGACTCTCTCTGTGCTGTCAAAACCACTGCAATCGGAGGCTGGCATGAAGGTCCTGTCTCCTGTGTGCTCCTGTCCCCTCAGCCACTTCCTCTCTGCCATATTACCAAGTCCCAAGCAGACTTTGGAGCATTCCTCACCCCTCACGCCCTCAAGTTTTGACTTTGTTGGAGGACAGTGATGTCCTAATCTGTTTGCTTTTCCATAGGTGATGTTTGCAGACGTTTTCTTGGAATCAGAACAAATATCATCCCACGTCTTTGTGCAATTCTCCCCCCTGGCTCCCACAGATAAATAAAGCCCTCTGCCCCGGAACAGTCTACCTGCACCTGGGTTGGTCGGAAGTCTCCTCCAGTCACTCGCCCACCTGCCAGGGCCTCCCAGGGCAGCCATGAAGTCCCTTGTCCTGCTCCTGTGCCTCGCTCAGCTCTGGGGCTGCCACTCTGCCCCACCCGCCCTGGGTATGAGCTACAGGGAACTGAACTGCGATGACCCAGAAGTGGAGGAAGTGGCCCAGGTGGCTGTGGACTACATCAACACACACCTGACAAGGGGATACAAGCATGTCCTGAACCAGATCGACAAAGTCAAAGTGTGGCCTCGGGTAAGTGTGCCTTCAGGTGCCTCAAAAAGTCAGCATCTCCCTTTACAAACAAAACCATGAAGAGGGTAAGCTTTACTCTGGTGCCCACGAGGGAGGAGAGGGAAAGGTGCCAGTGTGTCCTGCAGTTCTGGGTCTCAGGAGGGCACTCGTGGGAAACAGTGGCAGGAAAACAAAGGACTCAAGTGATATTTTTAATATCACATATGAAAAGTGTCTTGCTAGAAAATTTTGTGTCCCAACGACCAGCTTCTACTTGCTGAGTTACGCCTTTTCTCTCTTGGCCTCCATTTCTTTCTGCAACGGGAGGAAGACTGAGAATGAAGGACGCCAACACTGTGTGCCAGGCTCTTTCATTACGTCATGCCGTAACTGCTCCCTCACCAAGAGTTCTGCGTAGTGTGTATATCACCTGCCAGTTACATGAGAAGAAATCAAGGCAGTGACATACCATGTGATCTGTTCCTCAAGGCCACATAAATAGGAAACCATGAGACTGTGATATGACTCCATACCTGTGTTCCCTCTTTGGCTCAAACTGCCTCTCAGACACAGCTGCTCACATCCCAGAGAGGTCTTGGCATGAACAGGCTTCAGCTCCTCACTGGCTACATGAGAAATGGACTCTGAAGCAGCCCTTGAATAGTGCCCACTGGACAGGAAGAAGAGCTGCTGAGAGATTGGGAAGAGTGAGGGAAAGGACTATTTAAACACTGGGTTTTATATCTGATTAAGGATAATTCTTTCCACAAAGCCTTTCTTGTGTGAGATAATATCAGGTAGTATGGGAGCTATTAAGCTGCATCATTTGAGACTGCCATTTTTATATGTCAAAAGCAGTGGAGTGTTGACAATTTTGCACGCTTCAACCTAACACAAAGGTATAGAGACACAAGACATAATGGGTGCCCATCAGAGATGGACAAACTAAGAAGAGAAATAAGACTGACATTAGGGTGTCTGTACTGACTGACAGCAATTCTCACTAGGGGATGAAGGATGGAAAATCAGGATTGTCACAGAAGGCTTTTAGGAGTGCTGCAAACACAGCGAGGTTCAGAGATGGTTCAGCGGAAATACTATTCAATTTAGGAAAACAACATGCCAAGTTCATTTCTGAACAGTTACTATGATTTTCACTAAAGACAGATCATGACAGTTATTTTCTCTGAGAAAGTGCAGCTCTGAGATTCTTCAGGAAAATTACACAGGGACATAAAAATGCAGAGCTTCCATGAGCAAGTAGATTCAGACAGAACTGAAATAAGAGGCAAGCACAGCTGGACGTGAGAAGAAAATAGAGGCATTAGTTGCACCTGCTGGATCTTCTAGGCCTTCCCCACAACGTCCTCCTCTAGCTTCTTCCTGTCCTGAGTTAGACATGGTTTCTCCAGGGACACATGGAGACCAGATCTTGTCATCACTGGCAGGCCGCAGTAGAGATTGGCAGGTTGACACCCAGACAGCTTCAAGCCACAAGTGGATGCGAATGGGAGAAAAAGGAAAAAACCAAGGATAACAACAAAACAGACTTGTAGGAAGGAAAAGAAAAGGGGGAGGAAGGCAAGTAGATAACAAGATCAAGGGGAAGGGGGACAGAAAGGGCAAGAGAAGATAAACAAAATGATGAGACATTGTCCTGCCCCACCTTACTGTTTGAGGAAAAACCAAAGCTGATCTTGAAGGATGCATGCAGAATGAAATTGCAAACCTTATAAGCGAACAGCATCACTCATTTTTAGTTTCCAAATAGAACTCAGAGGACTGTGGCTCCATCAGACTCCGTATCTACCTACTGCACTGGCCACAGCTGGGTGGCAGTTAACGTTAAGATTCAGTGAATGTGAATGATGAGATTCACATAGTAGGCACCTTCCACATCTTTTCCTTCCTCCTTCTTATTGACAAGCACCATTTAACTCAAGAGAGAAAGCACAGAGACACAGACCAAGCAGCAGTATGTTAACAGGTCTTGTTAGGTGTTGCTCAGTCAGCTACAGTTCATAGTGCCCCTATGAACAATGCATCTTGAATCCTGCCTTATCCTGAGCCATCGTCAACATGCCTGATACACTCCAACTCATTATAACTGCCACTGTCTCAGTCCATCTTGTTGAGGGTCTTCCTCTCTTTCTCTGATGTTTCCAGTAGAAATTACTTTTCCTTTACCTCTCCCAAAAGGAGGAGGCTCACGCTAATCCTGATGGCAGTGGGGAAGCTACTCACTTCGTCCTCTTCTTGTTTCTCCACAGCGACCCACTGGAGAGGTATTTGAGCTTGAAATAGATACCCTGGAGACCCTCTGCCATGCTATGGACCCCACCCCCCTGAAAAACTGCTCTGTGAGGCCGCTGAAAGACCACGTGAGTGCCCAATAGCTTGATGCAATGAAGCCCCAAACAATCCCACCATTGGTTCCTTCAATGAGAATGTTCACTAATAGGTGAAATTGCCCCGTGAAATTGCTTTCTTTGGAGCCAGTGTTCTCACCATTTGCCCCCTTGTTGCAGACCCCTCGAAAGCCAAGTGGTGGTGCAACATTACTTCACAGAGAAGACTTGGGGAGGGACCTCTCTCTGAGTAAGGGGCGAACAGGCAGCCTCCCTCCTGAACCCTGTCCTGTGGCTTATTTCTCCAGGCTGTGGAAGGAGACTGTGATTTCCGTGTGCTGAAGCAGGACCAGCAGCTTTTTGTGTTGTATTCAAAATGCCATTCCAGTCCAGGTAGAGATGATTGTTCTTTTAACCTTGGAGAGAGAGAGAGAGGACGCAATCAGAAAGGTTTTAAGTTTAAGTCAAAACCAATTGTCTTCATGGGGACTCGAACACGTGGTGACCTTGTGAGTGTCAGAGAATGGTAATCCATGGCAGAGCTTTTTTAAAAGCAGATCACCAGACCTTTCTTGGAAGACATCTCTCTAGGGTGGACTCAAACCTCTGGTCTTTCAATTAGCAGCCAAACGTGCTGGGCATTTGGACCACTTGGGACTACTCAGTGGCGGTGGTTCTAGCCCGTTTGTTGGTGAGGAAAAAGTCAAGTTAAATTTGATGAGTTTGGGGATTTAAAAACTGTTGTCTAAAGATCTATTCTTATTGGAAGTTAAAATTGTCCCCTAGCAGGGCAGAAATGTCAACCCGACTTGAGTCCCTCAAGGTTTAAAAGGAAGCAGGGAATATGCATTTGGAGCATGCGCTGAACCCAACCCTCTCCCTGCCCTTTTCGAGGGTTCTGACTCAAAAGGAGACGCTGTAGGACTGAGTGGAACCGCCATCGGGTTCCCAAGAGAGTAAATCTTCAGGCAGCTCACAGCTATGGCTTTCCCGCAAGGAATAGCTGTTGGGGTTGAACTGCTTTCACCTGAGAGGTTGAGCGCAAACTGTTAGCAGCCCAGTGCTTACCCCCTGCACAACTTGGATCCCTTGGGCATGTGTTAGCTTTATAAATAAGGAGCACGGGGCAGGGGTGTCATTGCTACGAAGAGTTTGCACCCGTTTCTTCTGTTTGTGCAGACTCTGCCGAGGACGTCATGAAAGTGTGCCCAGACTGCCCCCTGCTGGCCCCAGTTAACAACTCCAAGGTTGTGCACGCGGCCGAGGCCGCCCTGGCCGCCTTCAATGCTCAGAGCAATGGCTCCTATTATCAGCTCGTGGAAATCTCCCGGGCTCAGCTTGTGGTAAGACTGAGAGATTTTAAAGATTAGGTCTGGAGGCACTGCAGGAATGTGTGTGATAAAGCAATGATTGCGAGGCAAGGCTGGGCTGGAGTGGTGGGAGACATAGGGAAAAAAAGGTCCTGGGGAGGGTCTCTCTCCATCCTGAGGACCCAAAGAGTCCACAGCGCCTCCCTTATGCTGTGCCACTCTAATGCCAAGCAGCCACGAGCCTAACTAGGCACAGCTACAATCCCTAAACCTTAACTAAAACCAGGGTTCAGTGTTGCCCAAACACCCGTCACCACAACCCATCACCACTGAATAGTGAAAGAATGCTCCTAACTGGTCCTTCAGATGGCATGAATCTGCTTATCCTTATTGTCTTGTCATGACAGGACCATAAAATGTTTTCAAAATTACTAAGGTTAGAATTGTATTGTGCATAGTTTAATTGTATTGTGCATTGTTTAATGATTTGGATACAATAGAATCTTAATATTGAAAAGACAAAACTGATATTCCGAATACCAGCGACAACTTACACGAAAACATGCTGCACCAGGAGACACTTCTATTAGCTAAAATATGTGCTTTCTCAGAATACCTGAATCCCAGACTGTGCCAAAGAACAGATATAATTTTGTATCAAAATGTTCCAAGTACTATGAGAAATAAAATCACAAGTATTATCTTCTATATTCTAATCTATTTTTATCTGATCCTGCTTTGTGGAATAGGTAGCAGAGGTACTAATCTCTTTACATCCCTAACCTATTTTGGAATCTGAGTCTCAAAATACAGACCCAAGTATAAAGGTTGGAGGTGTTAGAGTTCCTATCCATGCCAATGGAGGGTCTACCAACTGAGATCCTTTGAAAATGGATGCCTACAACTCATTCAGCGAAGGCCCAACTCCCTACACACACAGGCTATGTAGTACTGCCCTATAGAACACAATCCCACAACACCTGTCCCTCTCTAAACCACTCAGGTGTGTGGTCAACATGAATGATGCTCCCTGGAGCCCTGCAATGCTATGAAGGGCTCCCCACTGCCTTCTAGCTTCTCCTTCCCCGCCTCTTCCATACTAAGTGAAGTTTCCCTAAAGAGCATTTTCTTTTACCCAGCCTCTTCCAGTTTCTACCTATGTGGAGTTTGCAGTGGCTGCCACTGATTGTGTTGCTAAAGATGTCACTGACCCAACCACCTGCAACTTGCTGGCAGATAAGGTGAGTTTGCAAAGGACCTGAGTTGTTACTGTCCAGGCAGAGTTAGTCACAGACTAGATAGAGCATTTTACTCAGGTTTGTATTCTGGGCTGCAGAAATGGGAATATCACCTCTTCTTATTGCTTGGGTCTTGACAGACCTTCCTCTAAGATATTTCTTTCATCTTTTAGTCAACCAAAATGAACTGTTGGTGAGTTGATTCTGACTCATGTATGTCAAACTGTATGACATAGGGTGTTCCATTGGCTGATCTCTTTCAGAAGTGGATCACCAGGCCTTTCTTCTGTGGCCTCTCTAGGTGAAACTGAATTAGTAAACTCTTGGTTAGTAACCACGTGTGTTCAAACTACCCAAAGACTCTCATGCTTTTAGAGTCATCATCAAATTCTCACACTCACTAGAGGCCTATGAGATTAAGAGATAGGAAAGGGCTATTTCCTGGAGTGTGAAATGACATTAGGTAAATCTCTGATATGAAAACGTTCAAGTCTTTGATCCAGTAGTATCTACTTCTAGAGAGTGAGCCTAAACACATAATCAGAGGTGTCTGACAGAAATAAATTTTTAGGAATGATTTATCTTCAATATTAAAGTACAGAAGATCTACATGTTCAACCAAAAGGAAGCATTGAATTAAAAATGGAGTATCAGTAAACAAGGAATCATGCTTACAATAAAATACTATGGTTTCCAAGAATAATATGATATGAGAAAACACAATGATATGTAGTATGTGAAAAGCACAAGATACAGAATGATAAATTGAAAAATTCTAAATGGGCCTCCTCCATTATTTCCTTTCCGGAGAGGAAGGCCTGTTCCTTTGGGACATTCTTCTTTTAGTAAATCTGTCTTTATTTTGTACCCTCGAAAAGGATGATAAATGATCCAATTTATAAATGACATGTAATATGTATTTTAAAATGAGAACTATAACTTCTTAATGGAATTCAAACTTTCTGGAGCCAAAGAGGCTGGATAAATATTCTCAAACTTTTGTCCTCAGAGCATCTTTATACCTTAAACCACAGTTTTTGCCGTTAAGTCAGCTTTGAGCCAGCAACTGTTTAGCTTAATTAGTAAAATATGCTTTAGTAGCCTACCAAGGAGTTGTGCTGCCAACTCAAAGGCCTTAAATCAACCATCTGCTCAGCGGGAGACAGACAGACAAATATCTGTGTGACTTATAACCTCTGAAAACCCACCAGAGGGTCAGCTATGAGTCAGCTTAGACTTGTTAACACAGTTCAACAATAACAACATGTGTCTGCCTTGAGAACTGTGTTTTTTTACAAGATTTATCTGTATGGGATCAAATGGACAACATCATCTGGGAAATGAAGATAAGAAATTGAGAGGAATTTAATTTAGAGTTTGCTTTGATGGCTGTTAAATAATTTGGAAAAGTATAGCTAGAATGCTTCTAGAGCTTGAGCAGATAAACAAAATCACTGCAGTGTGCACATAGAATTTGTTGAACTGATACATTCCTTGTTGCGTATCTTTTCACAAAAATAAAACGTTTTCTTTCCACGAAAAAGAAATACTTCAATATTAACAATAACTGACCCTGTGTTAGCATAATTTCTGGAATGAAAATAATCTGTCTTAAAAAATGTCTTTATTTACTGTAACACACATACACACATTATAAGATGTGGTTTGAGGCCACCAGCTGGTCCTCAGGAGAAGGATGGGAAATCTCCTCCTGTGCAATTAACTGCCCCTGAAAACACACCAGAGGGTCAGCTGTGAGTCAGTTCCAATTCTACAATAAACAACAACAACAACAATAACAACATATCTAGTATATATCATATGTCTTCCATATAAACTATGAGAAACAATAATCAAAAGAGACTAAAAGGAAAAAAAGAATTCAGAATTTTAATGCCCCCCCCATTGTTGTGTTGAAATATAAATGCAGCTAGGAGGAGAAACTCACCATGTTTAGTCAGCCTGAAAAGTTCCTCTCTTTGTCTGCAGCAATATGGCTTCTGCAAAGCAACCCTCACTGAGAAGCTTGGTGGAGAAGATGTGGCGGTGACATGCACATTGTTCCAAACACAGGTAACAACCCTCATCGTCAGAATCCAGCAGTTTCATAACATGGATGTAGTTTGTGAATAATTGCACAACTTTTGAAGTTGTGTCCTTCTGAAACTCGCAGTGACAGTGTTGAAGCATGCTTAGTTACACACAGACAAGTATGTATTTCAGCTGTACCTTCCTCTGCCAAGAACTGAAGGCTACAGGGCAGAACCATTTTAGTGTGTAGTTGACAAGGTCACCTTTTTTATTTTCAAGGAGTCGAGATGGTTCTCTGAGTTGTAGGCATCAAATGACCAGACCTGCCAACTATTCTCCAACTATTCTTGGTGGTTTCAGATGTAGGTGACCATGATGTGGCTTTGCTGGCTAAGGCTCACCATATGGTGGGTTAGGACACATATACTTAAGTCCACCATAATCTAGCCAGCCGTAAGATAGGCCAACACCGTAGTTAACCCTCTCCTGGAGAGCAGATGTCAACCATCCGGACCAAAACAGTTCTTTTCCGTCTTCTCAGTCCTTTAACATTAAAATGAGAAAGTTTAGAGATGAGGGCTACACACAGAATTGTGGGTGGCTTTTGTACAAAGAGAAGAAGCGAACTAACCAGAGGAAAACTGTCCTCTCTCCAGCCTGTACTTCCGCAGCCTCCACCAGAGGGAGCAACTCCCCCCGTTGCCGTGGACGTAGCTTTGCCAGCACCTGCCGTACCTGACCCGCCAGTGTCTGCCCTGGTGGCAGCGGGTCCCAAGGTGGTCCCAGTGCACCAGACACACTATGACCTGCGCCATGCCTTCACAGGGGCAGTCTCTGTGGAGTCCACCTCAGGAGAAGCATTCCACTCAGTGAAACCACCTGCAGTGGGGCCTGGTCTAGTGGTGCAGGCTGGTCCAGTGGAGGGGCCTGGTCCTGTGGTCCGGCCATGCCCAGGCAGGATCAGACACTTCAAGATCTAGGCTGGGCACAATGAAGGCTAGAAGGTTTGGCACAGAGAATAGAGCTACCATTTTGTCCATGTCTGGGCTTGGAGGCCTTTTCTTTTGTCAAAGCGAACACCACAGGTGTTCTAGGCAACTGTCATGTTCTGGATCTCGACTTCTCTTCATTTCTCAGATAACAGAGGCAGAGAGATTGATGGTTCGTTCTATTTGATGAAGATATAAAACGAGCAACTTGATTATTATTGTTATGGTGCTATGGCCCTATCATTGTGTTCTCTGCCTTCTAGTTGACCTCACAAAAACCACTCAAACTGTAACTTTGACTGGTGCTCTTGCCAAGCTTGTATCGGCCTCTTAATAAAAGTACCTGAAGGACTTTCCTTAATAAAGAAGGTTCTAAATGGAAATGTGGTCATCATTATCTCGTCTCCTGTGTTGTTCATATGCTGGTCTGTCTTCACACACAAACATCCCTAAGCAAATGAAAATAGGAACCAAATGAGAATAATAATTGAAAAAACAAAAAACACTGCTACCATATACAGAAAACAGTGAGACGTGTACCTGATTTCTTCCCATTAGAATGTATACTCCATTTCTTTATGAGAAAAAAAAAAATTCCTAAGGATCAGAAAACATTACTAACAAAGGACGAAATGCCTCATTTATGTACAGATAAATCAATCATAAAAAGTCTTGTTTTTTCCCTTAAGGGAGGAAGTAGGGGAAAGAAGGCAAGTAGCCCTTTAACAAGTTACTTTATAATTTGTTAAACAGGGACATACTGGGGAGTGAAAGGGGAAACTATAGGTAAGTTAGTTATGATAACTGATGTACAGTATGTCAAAAAGTCTGGCCCATTGCCACTCAGTTTATCCCAACTCAAAGTGACCTTATAGGACAAAGGAGAATTGCCCAAAGGATTTCTAAGAGTGAAAATCTTTGTGGAATCATACTGTCACAGATTTCTCCTGTGGAGCAACTGGTGGCTTTAAATATTTCATTTAGCAGTGCAGGGATCCTTGTAGGTTAGGTAGTCACCCTACTAAGCTATTCAGTGACCCTCTAATAAGGCAATATATCCCAAATGTTTTTCAGTCCAAGAATCCCTTTTTTCAATCTGTGGTCATTCCTGCTTCTGTCAAGGCAATAATTGCACTCACTAGTTAATTATGCAGGAAAAAAGTATGCATGCACAGGATCCTTTTAAGAACTTCATAGCCTTAAGGCAGTGGTGTGCCAGTAAAAGTTTAAGAACTGGCTGGCAAGGAGAGTCACCTATTTGTAGTGTTTGTAAATTTCTACATGGCAGGTACTCCCACCACAGTTTTAAGCGATCAGTAAACTTTCAGCAAGCTTGCCATACTCTTGAAAATTTATCAATTGGCTTTCCAACATGCTACAAGCTATCTCCAACACATCACTAACCTGGGGGACTTAGGGTTAAAGTTTAAGAACCATTTATAGGGTTGTTATGAGTCATACTTGACTCCACAGTGCCTAGGAACAGCTGCTTTAAAGAAGATGTGGGACAACTAGAACTCTCACAGACTACTGGTGGGAAAGTATGTTCTAGTTTCTTAAAATTAAATATGTTGTTGTTAGGTGCCGTTGAGTGAAGTACCACGCATAGCAACCCTATGAACAACAGATCTGAATCCTGTTCTATACTGAGCCAGCCTCACACTTCCTGAAACGCTAGAGTCCATTCTGGCGGTCACTGTGTCAATCCACCTAGTCAAAGCTCTTTCTTTCCTTTGCTGACCTTCCCAACATCATGTATCTCTCCATGAAATAGCCCCTCCAAGCAACATTTCCATCATCATCATCTGTGCCTCCAAGGAACACTGTGGCTGCACTTTCTCCAAAGCATGTTTGTTTGTCCTTTTGACAGTCCATGAAAGGTTCAGTACTCTTCTACCACACCACAGCTCAAAGGTATCAATTTTTCAGTCATCCTGATTCATTGCCTACCTCTCAGATGCATAGCAAGTGATCAGAAAGACCATGGCCTGGACCAGACACACTCTAGTCCTCAAATGGACATCATTACTCCTTAATAATTTGGAGAGGTCCTTGCTGCAGACTGTCCCAGTGTAATAATATATCTCCTGATTTCCTAACTGATGGTACCAGGGAGTTGATTATGGATCCAAGTAAGATGAAGTTGACACTTTCAATCTTTTCTTTATCCATCATAATATTGCCTTTGGTCCAGTGGGAAGAATCTTTATTTTCTTGATGTTGAGATGCAGTCCATATTGAAGACTGTATTCTTTGATCTTCTGTCACAAGTGCTTCAAGTTCTCCTCACTTTCAGCAAGCAAGATTGTGTCATCTGCACTAGGCAAGTTTTTATTATAGTCTTCCTCTGAACTTAATGTCACATTCTTCTTTATAGAGTCCAGCTTCTTGAATAATTTGCTCAGCATACAGATTGAATAGGTATGGAGAGAGAATACAACCCTGATACATTTCCTTCTTAATTTAAAACGACGCAGTGTTCCCTTGCTCTATTCAGCTAACAGACTCCTGGTCTAGGTATAGGTTTCTCATGAGCACAATCAAGTGCTCTGGGATTTCCAATCTTCTCAATGGTAGCTGCAACTTATCATAATCCACACAGCCAAATGCCTTTGCATAAATGTTGTTGTTATTGTTATGTGCCATCGAGTTGTTTCGACTCATAGCGACCTTATGTACAAGAGCCCTAAACGCCGTTCTATCCTGTGCCAACCTCTCTGTCACAAACACATTCATTCCCACCGCTCCAGTCACAGAATCAATCCATCTCATCGAGGGTCTTCCTCTCCTGCGCCGTCCCTCCACTTTCCCAAACATGATGTCCCTCTCCAAGGACCATGCCTCCTCCTTGCAACATGCCCAAAGTATGTCAGACGAAGCTTCAGAATCCTTGACTCCAGGGAACATTCTGGCTTCACCCTCTCCAGGACAAACCTGTTTGTTCTCCTAGCAGTCCATGGTATATTCAACACTCTTCTCCAGCACCAAAACTCAAAGGCGTCAATTCTCTTTCTATAATTCCTATTCACTAAAGTATAAATAAATGTTCTTTTGGTATTCTTTAATTTCCGCTGTGAACCATCTGACATCAGCATTGATATCCCTGGTGCCATGGTCTCTTCTAAATCCTGCTTGAACTTCTGGCAATTCCTAATCTATGTACTGTTCTAGCCATACTTCAATGATCTTCAGCAGTATTTTGCTCATATGTGATATTAATGTTACTGTTCAATAGTTTCCACATTCTGTTGGATCACCTTTCTTGGGAATGGGAACAAATAGGGACTTTTTTCAATCTGTTGTCCAGACAGCAGTCTTCCAAATTTCCTGGCATAGACTGATGAGTGCATCCAGGGCTACATCTGTTAATTGAAACAAGTCAATTGGTATCCCATTGACTCCTGGGTCCTTATTTCTTTTACATTGTTATGTTATTCCTTGTAGACATTGAAATCCCTTTAACAAAAAAGGGTAGAAAATCACATACATTTTACATATTGAAAATGTATTTTTAAATTAAAGATTTTAAAGTCATATTCTAATTTTATTAAAATTACATGTTTAGGCATATTCATATATCAAGAATATTTAGGACAAAGAATTGCTGTTGTTGTTACTAGGTGCCGTTGAGTTAGCTCCAACCCGTGGTGACCGTATTTACGACAGAATAAACCTTCTCTATCCAGTTTGGAAGTTGTCTGCAGGAGCCGGATTCTACAGAGGCTTGTTTGCTGAACTGGTGAGGATTAGGGTGAAATGTTGATTAGCTAATGGGTGTGAGATGATGTGATTCAGTCTCCTGTTTAAAAACCCATTTGGTCAGCAGTATGGGGCTGGAATCCAGATTGGAAGTTGTCTGCAAGAGCTGAATTCTACAGAGGTTTGTTTGCTGGTATTGGTGAGGATTAGGGTGGAATGTTGATTAGCTAATGGGTATGAGAAGATGTGATTTGGTCTCCTATTAAAAAACCCATTTGGGCCCTCAGGCCTGGTTTTAATTGTTTTTTTGTCAAACATTCTTCTAAGTGGTATAATCCTGGTCTGTCCATTTACTGTACAGAGGTAACTCGTGGTTGCTGTGATGCTAAACACTGTGAAACTGATGTGTCAAATGCAATAATGGTTACCCGTGGTGGACAGTGTTTGGTCGAGCTTCCCGATTAAAAGAAGTTTGGAAGCAGGAGTGGCATCCATTTCCTAAAAAGCTTGCCTCTGGAAACTCTGTGAACTTGGAGAAATGATTAAAATTATACACGTGTTCAGGTCTTTCATTCATAGGGTCACTATGAGTTGTCTATGACTAGATGACACTTAACAATAACAACAACCAGATCCTACAGTACCCTCTACACTACCTTCTGTGTTTAAACCCATTGTAGCTACTGTGTCAATTCATCTCATCCAGGGTCTTCCTCTCTTCATTGTCCCTGACTTTTCTAAGCATGGTATCTTTCTCCAGGAATCAGTTCCTTCTGATAGCATGCCCAAAGTGTGTGAGACAAAATGTTACCACCCTCACCTCAAAGGAATACATTGATTTCACTTCCCCCAACACAGATTTGTTTGTTCTTTTGTCAGCCCAATGTCCATATTCTCAGTCAGTCCATATTCTTGGAGAACACAGTTCAGAGGCATCATATTCTTCTTTAGTCTTCCTTATTCATTGCCTAATTTTCATATAAATACTAAGCAAATGACTATGCAAACGGTTTTGACTGTGTGGATCACAACAAACTGTGGTTGACTCTGAGAATGGGAATCCCAGAACATTTGATTGTGCTTTTGAGAAACCTCTTCTTGGACTGAGAAGCAGTCATCAGAACAGAGCAAGGAGACACTGCATGGTTCAAAATCAGGAAGGGTCTATGCCAGGGATGTAATATGTCTCCATAGTTTCTCAATCTGTATGCAGAACAGATCATCCAGGATGCTGGGCTGAACGAGGAGGAATGCAGAATCAGGATTGGAAGAAGATTCATGAATAACCTGGG